AGTAAGAATTACCTTTCTGGGGTGATGGCAATTCCTTAAGAAATTTGGGTTATATATGTGTACACAGTATACACATTTGTCAAAATTCAAACGTATAAAAGAAGGCTTTAAAGGGTTCATGGAAAAGTGAAATTTAGAGAAAGTTACAAATGTTATTTTTCAACATGCGCTTAATCAAATTCAAGACCTTTTTGGAAGCAGTGATACAAACCATGTAGTCTCTTCCTAAAGAGATGAGGGTTCTGGGAATTAGCCTTGTGAATGCAGTCTTTGAGTACTGACTGAAGAAAAACAGGTGCTCTTAACAAATTTTTCTTGTAAAGATTATTTATTTGAAAGGCAGAGTTAAAGAATGAGGACAGATCTTCATCTACTGGTTTACTCCCCAGATGGCCACAATGGCAGGGACTGGGCCAGGCCAAATCCAGGAGCTTCTTTTGGGTCTCCCACATGGGCGGCAGGGATCCAAAGACATGGCCATCTTCTACTTTCCCAAGTGCATTATTAGGGAGCTGGAGCAGCTGGGACTCAAACCTGTGCCATCTATGGGACACCAGTACTGCAGGTGGCAACTCAATCTGCCTCACCATAGCAAGGGCCCAAGAATCTTTTTTCCTAGGATTAGTGAACAAAATTAGTTAGGAGCCAAATCAGGACTGTAAAAGAGATGCCTAATGATGTATCACTAAAACTCTCACAAAATGATCCAAGTAATGACGGGTATTGTCATGATGGAGAAGAACTCTGTAGTGACTCCTTCCTGATGAATTTCCTGCTAAAGCTTTGGATAACTTTCCAAACACACTCATAAGAAGCAGATGTTATCATTCTGTCCTTCCAGAAACTCAAGCACAAGCCTGTTCCCCTGGACCTCTCATAGTGTCCCATGCCAGAGCAAACTGGAGCCCCAAACCATTGCCTGGCCTCTGTCCATAGGTTGTTGGCAATGAAGTGGGTGCACAGTAGAAAAAACAAAATCAATTGTTGCCATGACCACTGCTCTTGACCATTTTTGTTTTGACCAGACCCAGACCACTTCTACCTCTTGGTAGCCATTGTTTTTTTTTTTTTTTTTTTGAATATAAGAAATGGCACAGGTTTGGTTCCCTGCTGCTCCACTTCTGATCTAACTCCCTGCTAACACATCTGGGAAAGCAGTGGAAGATGGCCCAAGTCCTTGGGTCCCTGCACCCATGTGGGAGACCTGGAAGCTCCTGGCTCTGCATTAGCCCAGCTCAACCATTGCGGCCACTTGGGGAATGAACCAGCTGATGGAAGACCTTTCTGTCCCTCTCTCCAACTCTGCCTTTCAAATCTTTTTTTTTTTTTTTTCAGTTATTTGTAAACTGATTTCCTTAAGGGATTGCCCCATCAACTTTTCATAATAAATGAATTCACTATTCTTTCACCCAAGCTTTATACCTTCATAATAAATTGGATGTTTGTCCCTTCAACTTTAGCAGAACTCATGTTGCTTTAATAGGAGCCCTTCTGAAACTGCTGCCTTATTAATGACTCAAACTATAGCATGCCCAGATATGTCATAAGAAATTAGCACAATTTTATTTTGAAGCAAAAAATTAATCTATGCATACTTTGTATTACATGCATTTCCCATGAACTTCTTGAAGTTCCTTCTGCAAATGATTCATTTTATTCTGTAAACTCAAAAGGAAATTAAACATTAAATTCTATTAATGTTATAAAGTTTTTAATGGAAAGCATACTGATATATGCAATATTTTGAAATGTATTAAGATTAATGGTGGGATAGAAGGATACAAGTAAAATGCTAGTATTAGAAATGAGGTAGAAGAATATGGGCTATTCAGTTAAAAATCTGAGAAGGCACTTTATCTTTTAACAATAGGAGTGAACAATCTTAAATTCTACACTAATAATTAGCCATTAAGAAATTCAAAGTTCTCAGTAAACCAATGAGCAATTGCCTTTTGAGTTAAGGTGAATTTACTAGCATCTCATAGCAAAGATACCTTAATAAAAGGAAAAATCTAATATGAAATGATTTACAAATATAGTGTAGGATTCTTCAGGAAATGAAGATTGCATTTGATATTACTTTTTGCCTTTCCAAGGCTTTTAAACCTCCCAAGCCCATCTGGCAATATTCTTTTCCTCAAATTCCTTTCTACCATTTGGGGACATTTCATATTTAGCATCAATGAAATCCATGCTCCATTGCACATCAGAGTAACCAATTTTTAAAAAGTTATTTAAAAAACTGGAAACTATCTCCATAATTAAATGGTTATGGGAAAACCTCATAATGTTCAAAGGCTATGATAGTTTAAGCAAAATAAAGGAAAACATTAACTAATTTTTCTAAACCATCAAACTATTTTGGATCTGATCCCAATTTTGGGTGAAGATGAGCCAAACCAATTCATACAGTGGAAATTTAAAACAAAGTACATAATGATTAATATTTATCACATTCCCAGAACAGCAGTTATGAGACAAGATCACCATTAACAAGGACTTGTACTTATTAGCACCTCTGAAGCAGGTTTAAGCCCTAGGAAACAAACTAGGGTATAACCAACATTAAAAAATAAGGAAGCTCAGACCAAATAAACAGGGAGGACTTCAGAGTCTTTTGATAAATACATTCAGAAAACATTTGCCTAATAGGATTTAAATATTCCCGAAGAGAATCAGTAACAGTAATTGTGTCCAGCTCTGATACCATATGCTTCAGTGAAGTGGCATGCTACACCATTAAATTCCTGTAACTAAGAAACAAAAGGTGAATATTCCTAGAGCTGCTGGAGAAAGCAAATTGGTCATTAAAGGAAAAAACAAAACACACGCACAAGCTCAGATAGTTTAACAAGACAAAGAATAAACTTGCCCCTTCTACGAAGTTTGTAAACATTAATGTAAAACCCAAAGTCAATATAAGAAAGAGGTAGGGCAGGTGGTTGATACTAAAATGCCACTTAGGATGCCTACATCCTGTATCAGTGCCTAAGTTCAAGTCTCATCTCCACTCTGGATTCCAGCATCCTGCCAAGTCTGGGGAGGTAGCTGATGATGAGTTAAGTAATCGGGTCCCTACCACTCATGTGGGAGACCTGGATGAGTTCCTAGCTCATACAGTACAGAGGTGCTCTCTCGTGCACTTCCACTGTTTCTGTGTGTTTCAAATTTTTTCAGTTTTTTTAGAAAGGGAAATTACAGATCAGTCCCAAGATAATGAATGTAATATATACTAAAATTTCCCAAATAAATCCAGTTATTAGATTTCATGAATAAGATTAGAAAAAGCTGTTATTGAATGCTTTTTCTGTATATATGGAGTTGAATTAAGATTCAACAAAAATTGACAAACTAATAGTAATCCAAAAATGGAAGAGAACATGCTGTACTGTACAGGAAGAGTCTATGGGAAATCTACAGGAAACATGCTCAGTGGTAAAATATTAAACATTTTCTGTAAAATAAGCAATATTGCAAAGATGTCATTTCCATTTCCTACTGGTTTTAGCCAGTGTGTATAAAACAAACACACATGTGGAATACAGACAGACTTACAAAAAGCAACAGAAGCCATTATTTACATCAATTGTCTTCATGGGGAATTCCAAAGAATCATCTACTCAGTTTTTTCTGTCATCACTACACATAAACCAATTATATGCACACACCAGCTATAGTATTAAAGGTCATTTTTAAGGATATCACTTAAATTACCAAAAACGGGGAATGTAATTGTAATTCTGTCCACAAAGATATGTAAGATCTTTATGAAGAAAGTTACAAAATGTTATTGAAAGATGAAATACCTAAGCAAATAGAGAAAATTACCATATTGATGCATAACAACATATCTTAAGGGGAACAGCTCCTCTCCAAAACTAACATATTAACCAACACAATCACCTTAAAACCCCATCGCGTTTTCTTACAGTACAAAAGCTGATTTAAAGGTTTATATGGAAAAGAAATGGTCAGGAATAGTCAAGAAACTACTGTGGAGGAAAAACTGGTGGGTGAGGAGAGAGCTGGGAAACTGGACCTACCAGATATTAAAAAATAAGATATGTTAAGATTATAGGTTTGGTGGATTAGAGAGGTCAGAAACAGATCCATCCATTTATGGAAACCCTATATACTACAAAGAGGTAGTACAGACCAGGTGAACTATTCTGTTACAGAATTTTGTGTTTTCCAGTATCCTATCTTACAAGCTTCTAGATGAATTAAGAATTTAAACATGATATGAAAGTCAAAACATTTAAGCTTTTAAACATATGGAAATACAAGTATGTTAAAAATCCCACTGTTGAAGGATTTCTAAAAAACAATAACCACTAAAAAAGCTATTTGGTTTACAAAAGGACACCATGAAGGAGTTGAAGAGTCACAAGCTGAGTAAAAATATTTAAAAGACAATTAACTAAATATAAAATTTTTTTACATAAGAAAAAAGAAATGGCTCAAACATATGAAAAACACTCAAACCCTTTGGTAATTAGAGAAATATAAACCAAAAAGACAACAATATACCCAATGGCACAGAGCATGCGGAATTTTCAAACCTTACAGGTGGAATACCAATTGGTTACTCCTATGCTGGAACATTTTAGAATTAGTAAAGCTGAACATAGACATTTCATGACCCAGGAGTCCACACCTAGTAAGATATCTCATGAAAGCTCTTACACGTGTGTACCAGAAGACATATACAGAATGTATTCTTACTCATTGGGGTCAAAATTAGAAATTCTGAATCAAATGCACACAACATACACACATTATTCAAAACTCATGTATGTGCTTCATATTTATGGAGCACATAAACACTAGTTTCATGACCTCTTTTTGTTACTAAATTCATCAATAGACCAGCATCATCCTTTTTAAAATGCAGACAAAATACACCTGAAAGGTCAGTTCTAGATGTAACATGACTGGCTTTTTTATTCACATTGACAAGTATATATACTTTAATTACCAAAGATTATATCAAGTATCTATACAAGAATCTTTTTAAAGTTTATTTCAATTTAATCAGGATTAAAGGGAAACAAAACTTTCATCCTTATCATTGTTGAGTAAAGTAACTTGAGTTTTAATATCTTGCTTAATCAGAAAATACACAGAAGGAAACAATAACAGAGCCTGATGTCCTGTGGTCTTCCTTAATAACAACCCATTTTCAAGAGACTATAATCTACTCAACAGAAAGCATTCTACCTAGGATTTTAATCAGATTCTGAGAATTCACACTCAAATATGCCATTAAACCCAAAACAATGCAGGTATTAGCAGCTATGTAAAAGGTTAGCCTCTGTGATGAGTCATTTCTGAAATCAAAGTGTAAGCACTTGAAGTGTCTTCTATTCAAGCTGAAAAATATATAAAGGTAGGGATTCATTTACCAAGTGGGTTGACTGCAAATTCGACTCTATGCAAACATCAAGCTAGGAATGGCAAAAATGAGCCTCTCTTCCTACGTGTTATTACTAACTTTTGCTTTGTTTTCTCAAGGTATTTTACTTTCGGCTTCCAAGTCCATACGGAATTTAGAAGATGCCATGGTACTTAATACATTTAGGATGGGAAAAGCCTTTCAGAAGGAAGATACCGCAGAAAAATCAGTCATTGCTCCTTCCCTGGAACAATATAAAGATGATGAGACCATTTTCATGAATGAGGAAGAAAACAAAAATTCAAAAGTAAGTAGTAATGGGAATTGTCCTCTGTTTCAATGGAAATTTAAATGACTTCTATAAGTTCTTTGAAAAATAAAATTGATACTTTTATTTTTCAAAGAGAAGTATATGCAAATAGTCCCAATGTGCATTAGGACAACTGATAATTTCATATATACTAGGTTTCTTTCCCAATAAACTTGAATGTAAGGTATTTTTAAGGAGTCAAAAACAGTGCAGAGCATTTGTAAGCAGTAAGAATACTATAAATTGTGATAGCTCCATCTCTAGCAAGACCGCTAAAATACAAATCAACCTTCTTTTTACAGAACACAGGCTCCAAACATAATTTCTTAAATCATGGTCTGCCACTGCATCTGGCTCTAAAGCCTTATCTTGCACTAAAAGGATCAGTAGCCTTTCCAGCTGAGAATGGAGTTCAGAATACTGAATCAACACAAGAAAAGAGAGAAATTGGGGATGAGGAAAACTCTGCTAAATTTCCTATAGGAAGGAGAGATTTTGACAGTGAGTAGTATTTTTAAAACCAAGTTTTATATCAATATCATAAAACTCTTGAGTTTAACTGAACTTGGATCAAATATTATTTCTGCCAAAAACATGAATTAAAAAGCATTCAACTGGTTATTGTAACTTTGATTCATCTGGTACATTCTTTTTCCTGCTAAACAATTTAGACTTTTTTCCTTCAGTGCTCAGGTGTATGCTGGGAAGAGTCTACCGACCATGTTGGCAAGTCTGAAATCTGTTGGTCCACATCATCCTTTCAGAAGAAAACAAAACTGCTTAGTTGCCAGTAGAAAGAGAAGCCCTTAATGTTACCCTAACTTGTGTATTATTTAAATTGCCTGTTTTAAAAGATAGTGTTAAGATATATCAATAACCTAAATGATATGCTTGTTTTGTGCATTAAACTTTGTGAAAATTCTGCATGAACTATGACTTGCTAGTTTTTTTGAGAAATGTCTAACATAGTAACCTTACATACACTTCAGACCAAAATAATAAAGTGGCATGATTTACACCTTAATCTCTAAAAATTCAGTATTTTTGGTTAATGGTTTTATATAAACATAAATTTAAGCACATTAAAAACAAAATCAGAGTCTGAAAAATTGAGTTAACTTTGTTTGGCCAGCAATCAATTTGTCCTTGGCAGTACACTTGCCTTTTGGTACTTTGCCTAGTTTGCCATCTAATCTATTCTGTGAATTGTTTGGTATCCTAGCTATCTTTATGCTTTTATGTTGAGATGGTTCATTTCCATTTTCATAGAGAATGTTTTCACCATCCAAATCCACCTGTTTCCTTTTTGAGCTTTTATTTCTTGTCTGACTACTTGATTTTCTTGACACTTTTTCACTTGTACGTCTGTCCAGATGAACACTTTCAAAACTTGTTCCAACTGTTGATCTTCCAACAGATGAATTTACACCCCCTGTTATGCAAGATGAAAAGGGGAAAGATTATATAATTATTGCTCATGAGAATTTTTAAATACTTTAAAAATGATTAAAGAATCTTAATCGTGATTTATAATAAAATTACAAGTTAACAAATAGAGCTACATGATTCACATTTGTTTTCATTTCTTTTTAAGCTACAAATGATTCCCTACATACATTTAAACTCTGTCCTATTCTCCATAAGTTTATATGTAGATTTGACTTCTAAATAAAACCAGACCTTGAAAAATAAACCTTTACACTTCATAGTACTTTGAGAGGTAATCCAGTTTTACTTAATTACTCAAATCAGATCAATTACCAGAGAGGTCGTTTTCCATGTTAAGAACACACAAAGGTTTTGATGCTGAAGTAATATTCCATTTATCCTTGCTTATCAGAAAGTCATCCTTATAGGTACAAGCAAACTGGGATCTAATCAAGGATTGCTTCATCTGGTAACAGAAAAAAATTTATTTTAATCTAGATACATACCCATTAGTAATCAAGGTATCAAAAAAATTTCTCTTACAAATACCACTATTCACTAGGAACATTTAACATTGTTGCATATTTTGCAAAGTTTCATCATTTCAGCTAGCATCTTAGTTCTGTACAGCTTTATGTATACTTGATTGACTTTTTGAAACTGTTTACAAGAACAATTTTAGACTCGTCAGAGGCTCTTGCTATACATTCTCATGTGTGGGCTGCTTTGCAGAGTGAGTTTATTATGTCAAGTAATAATACCCATGATAAAGAACTTATTTTCTGTGATGTTTAAAGAATGCAGAGTACAACTATTATGGGGAAAAAACATATTAAATTCAGAAAATTAAACCGGAAAAGGAAGATATGCTAAGATGAAAACGAAAAGTCAAAACTTTAAGATGAGAAAATGCTAAAGGTGTTATTTAGTTAAAACTTGAATTTTTAGGAAAACAATTCAAATATACCATTATAGGATGGTCTGACCAAGTGATTTAATGGTCAAAAACTCAAAATATACTCTTGTATCTATTTCAAACACCATACATGGGACTTTTTACATATTAAATAGGAGAAAATGAAATCAAGTTAAATTCTCAACCATTGAAAAGGATGCCAAAAGTAGATTTCGGAATGTATTCTGCAAACATAAAACCAGTGAGCTGTTTTAGGAGTAGAAATTTCAGAACAAGGGTACCTACACAGATGATGCAAATTTCCACAATTACAGCTGATGCCTAATGGTATCCAGTTCGATTTCTCTAAATGATTAGAAGTCTCCTCAAATTCTTAAGTTTGATGTCCAATTCAATGAATTAACACTTCAGAATATAACATTTTGCTGAATGTTGCTTACCGAATAGTTACTGATAAACTCATGAAATCTAAAAGAACATGGCTTTGTTATTCAGTTATTGTATATTATATGATCAGAAAGATCAGTGCATTAATGTGAAATTTACTGCCCAAGGTTTAGAACAAATTAGAATAGTCCCCTCTACAGTTGCTTCATAAAAGCAGTTTCCTTAGGATAATTTTCTATCTGATTAATGGGGTCTGAGAATATTTCCCAGATCATTAAAAATTATGCTTTATGGGCCTGAATGAAAAATTATACAACTGGAGTTATCTTCCATTCAAGCATAAAAGTGCACAAAATTGGAAAAGAGGTGAAAATGTAAAGATCTAAAGGCTATTACTCTCAAAATAGGTGAAATAAAGTAGGTTGCCAATCATAAACAGGTTTGCATCTCAGTACCTTCATCAATTCTCAAGAATGCAACTCTTTTACAAAGGGCATATTATGGTAGAAACTATCTGAAAACTGATGTTAAGTGGCTCTTGCTGGACTTTATCCTTTTTTTTTTTTTTTTTTTTGACAGGCAGAGTGGACAGTGAGAGACCAGGAGAAAGGTCTTCCTTTGCCGTTGGTTCATCCTCCAATGGCTGCTGCGGCTGGCGTACCGCGCTGGTCCGAAGGCAGGAGCCAGGTACTACTTCTGGTCTCCCATGGGGTGCAGGGCCCAAGCACTTAGGTCATCCTCCACTGCCTTCCCAGGCCACAGCAGAGAGCTGGCTTGGAAGAGGGGCAACCAGGACAGAATCTGGCGCCCCAACTGGGTCTAGAACCCGAACCCAGGGTGCTGGCGCCGCAGGTGGAAGATTAGCCTATTGAGCCGCGGTGCCGGCCTATTAACATAGAATTAAAGCAATGTATAAAGCTACTAAAATTTTCTTAATAAAATCTACATTAAATCACACCATAAATACATTACAATCCATCAAATTTTACTTGCATCAGCAAAACCAATACTAACCATTAACACTATCTTTTCATATGTTTATTAAATTCCACCTGAGTTATTGTTTATAAGCCATATGTTTATAATTGCCTATAAAGAGTTTGGTAAGGCCATTAAGGTGAAGAGATGCTAAGGGGCTATCTTGGGTCACTCCCTTAGTACTCAAATAGTCTTAGCATCTACAGGTGTCTTGGAAGGTCTGACCCCCCCACAATAAGATCTTTATCAGCATTATCCATAAAATGCTCTAAGTAAAAATATAAGTATAGTAATTAAGAAAGACGACTTATGTTTGCTCAATGTCGCATTAAGCATGAAGAAAAAATCTTTAGGAAGCTTCGCAATTTTTATCTTTTTAAATGTACAATTTAAGTAAAAACCTTTGCTACTTAAACAGTTAACAAAACAAGTGACTTCTTTCTCTTTTAAGGAAGGCCTCACTGCAGAGAAATTCCAGAGACCTTAGTAACCACAGGACAATTTCAGAAAATTCGAGTTAGTAGGCAACATTTTAAAAATTTTTGTATGTTTGTTAGAGAAACAGAGATAATGAGAGACAGTTCTCATTCACTGGTTCACTCCCCACGTGCCCTCAGCAGCAAGGGCTGGGCCAGGATAGACCAGGTCTGAAACAGAGCAAGGAACTCAATCCAGGTGGCAGCAACACAATCACTTGAGCCATAACCTGATGTCTTCCAGGGTGTACGTTAGCAGGAAATTAGAATTGGGAGTGAAGCCAGAAATATGCACCCCAAGTCAATAGATTCCTAAAATACTGAGAACAGGTTTAAATGTGAAAATATAATAACCACTTTATTTACCATAAAAATTATATCAAAACATGAGAAAGATAATTCTGTGGTGATCTTAGAATACTTATGTCCAAAAGAAATAACTAAGAGTAGCTAAATATTGAAGAATATTGAAGAGTTTTTTCTTTTATTAAAAGATTATGTGTGTTCTTTCATCTGCAAAAATAATTTTTTTCAAATCAGTTACCACTTATTAAGTTCCAACTATGTGATAGGCACACAGTATATTGAAGAGATTACGACAATGGCTTCCATAATCACAAAGACATACTACTAATAAAAGCTGCTATTGACACACGCTGGAAGGGATAACAAATTAGGTAACAGAATCAAGATGAAAAGATTTCAGAAGGCTAGATCCATAAGCAAAAAGTAAGATGAAAATGGATGGGGATAAACAAAGTCCTGTATTTAAGTTAAATATCAATTACAGATATACAGGATGAGGAGAATCTGACTAAAAAACATATGAAAAAGACCTAGAGATTTTAGTGGATGATGAATGTCACTGGTGCCTACAATGTGACATCCAGCCAAGAAGGCAGCACAAAAAGAAAAAAATCTGATGGGAAAAGCGACAAATTTGCAGTCAAAATACCTGGCTTCTAATATTGGCTCTATTACTTATAAACTACATACAATCTTAGATAAACCACTAAGCCTGTCAATTATCCACACATAAGTGGGAATAATATTTACCTCACCAAATTTTTAGAAATGTGCATATTAAAATATTGAAGTCATATAAACTCGAGAGCTATGTATATCTATAGTTAATATTGTAGTCACACATATGAAGAGGATATTCTTATAAGATGTTGGATTAGATCTTTCAGGAGCAGGCCAATTCTAAAATGATTCTAAAGACAAGTCAAAAGGTAAACTTATGATCAGCTTCTTCACTTTAATTACTAAACAATGTAGGCTACCTGGACTTATATTCATAACTTAAAAGATTGCTTTGCCTTTGTTCATAAAAGTTGAATTTCTCTGCACAAGATTAGTGGCTACATAGAATTGAGATTACTTCCTGTTGCAAATCTTCCAAATCTCTCTGTGTATTTGATTTGGAATCACAAATAAGCAAAACAATTCCCTCTTGAAAGTGCTTTTGAAGTACTAAACAAGCAAGAATAATGTCCAGATTCAGACGTGGCTGTTAAAATCATTTTATGTTCAAGTCACATGAGAGAAATGGATTGAAAGTTTTCCTTTGTAGAATGCTTGCCCCCCTTTGGAAAGATTTCTATCCACAGTAAAATTGCAATGAACTTCAAATTTGCCAAGAATTGGAAAAGTCTTTTTGCCACAAGTTCTTTTTAAATTGAAATTATTAGTAGGTTCCCAGTTTGAGGAAAATAGTGCTTCACATAGGAAAGCCTGACTCCAGTTAAATTAAGATGAATGAGTCAAAACACTGAAAACTCAGAGACATCCTAAGAGTTGTACTATTAAGAAAACTAAAGTTCTAAGCCCCCTTTATACTATTAAATATATAAACAAGTTTGAAAAATTATTTTCAAAATATCCATTAATTATGTAACCCCAGTTAAGTTTTCTAAACATATCTGTCTACTCTTACATTATCACACTTTCAAAAATGATAAATGATGGATTCTAGAACTGAACAAGGATTGAGAAGAGGGATATAGAATGGCCAGTATAGCAAACACCTGTCACTCAGTAGGTACTCAATAAATCCCAACTCCATTATTTTTCCATTTGAATGAAAAACATTGCTCATATCCTTAAAATCTTTGCTTAACATCACCTTCTCAAAGAGACCTCTAATTATCATTGTATCTAAAATCAAAACACACTTAAAGGAATATAGTCTCTTTAACCCCTTTCCAGTTCTATTTTACTTCATAGCATTGATAGTCTTGTAATACACCTTATCACTTACTTGTTTATTACCTGCTTCAATTAAAATATAAACTCCACAAACAGTAAAACCCTAAGTTTGGCAATTGGTGGCTTGTTCTGATCCTACTATGCTATCTCCCACCCCACCCCCCTACAAACACCCCACACATGCACACGCACACACACAGGGCACAGTCATGCCCACCAGACAAATATGACTCCCCCTTTTAGATCCTGCTCCAGCTTCCTGGGAACCTAGGACACTGGCCTTTAGCTCCAGGCTCAAAGGCTGACTGTCCTAAAGCAAGAATGAAGGGGAGTGGAGTATATACACTTCCTAATGGGCTGAAGAGAGTTTGGAGGAGACCAGGAAGTTCCATTGACATTCTTGCATCTTGGCTGCACAAAATATTAGGGGAAGCCTTGTCCATTGCAACAGGGAAAGCTGTTTCTTTGTCCAGATATATCTCCAGTGCCTAGGACAGAGCCATGCTTTAGGAAGGAAGAGAGGGAAGGAGGGAGGGAGGGAGGGAAGGAGGAAAGCTCTAATAGATTATAACAAGTATATGCAAGCAGAAGCTAGATGGGCACAGAAAGCCAGTCTAAGCAAAAGCTGGGAGGTAGAAAATTATCTACAGAACAGACCAGACTCTGCTTTCCTTAACACAGTGTAGAGTAACCACATGATAACACATCACACCTCGCATTAGTTCTCCCACTTCCAGGTATGTCCTCCCAGGGTTTCAACTGACAGCCCTGTGGGAATCTCAATCACCCGTGGCCTGAAAATCTAGAATATTCACCCTCTCTTTTCCGGGTTTTTCACAGTGTCTCTTTTGCCTCCTACCACACTTCATTTCCAAATGAGAGGCCAGCCATGAATCTAAGTTTGGTCCTACTGTTCAAGCAGAGCCTTGTCTTAAAATTCCAAGGATAGGCCGGCGCCGCGGCTCACTAGGCTAATCCTCCGCCTAGCGGCGCCGACACACCGGGTTCTAGTCCCGGTCGGGGCACCGGATTCTGTCCCGGTTGCCCCTCTTCCAGGCCAGCCCTCTGCTGTGGCCAGGGAGTGCAGTGGAGGATGGCCCAGGTGCTTGGGCCCTGCACCCCATGGGAGACCAGGAAAAGCACCTGGCTCCTGGCTCCTGCCACCGGATCAGCGCGGTGCGCCGGCCGCAGCGCGCTGGCCGCGGCGGCCATTGGAGGGTGAACCAACGGCAAAGGAAGACCTTTCTCTCTGTCTCTCTCTCTCTCACTGTCCACTCTGCCTGTCCAAAAATAAAAAATAAAAAAAATAAAAAAAAATAAAATTCCAAGGATAATGGGTGATTTTAGCGTACCAGACTGAAGCTCCCTATCTCCACACAGCTACAAACTTCAGCATTTGTGTTGTAGGTTAAAATAACTGTGTTTAAGGCTCCTGAACTTTCAAAATTCTTTACAGCCTCTCAAGATACCCAAGAGCTATATTGGTTTCTGTCTCCCTCAGGAGAGTTCCTTTATAGGAGTCAACACCAATGGCAAGAAAACAGTTGACAAGAGACTGTGCACTCCAGAGGACTTCTTTCTCTCCTTAGTTAACTTCTTTGCTTAAACAGCAATCTAGCGCCTTTAACATATACTTCTCCCATCTATCTGCCTTTTATTTTGTTATTGTAGCAGAAACGGCACTCTGCCATGGCATACTGCATCCTAGAAACTGAAGCCTCCAGATTTGTGAGTGACTGCTTGATTCTGTTCCCTCCCTGTCTGACAGCAACTTTTCTCCTTGGAGTTACAGTTGAAGGTTGCCTATTTTCTGCTATGCTTCATTTTTCTGCAGCCCAAGGAACGGTGTAGAGAAAAGTTAGTCTGGAAAAATGTCTCATTAAGCAGTCTCTTAGAAGAGTTCCCTATGTATCACACATAAGAAGTTTCTTCCATCTAGTTAGGTAGGCACTGTAACTCATTCATTCAAATGGCAGGTTTGGATAATTTCCCTAATTCATTCTGTAGCACTAGCGCCTTTACTTGTCTCAGCATATAGTGCCGGAGTTCCCTGTCCACATTTCTCTCCAGTTGCCACTTCCAGCATTTCTCTGACACGTAAGGGTAAAAACAACAAGAATACATAGCCCGTTGGCTTCTCAGTTACCTGGGGACTAGGGCTAATCATGCTGTGCAGCTTGATGCTCTGAAATATTTCTTTCCTTGGCCATCACTTGTGAAGTTCATTATATCTGATTATAATAATTGCTTGCTTTGGTGATTAGTTTTGTCAATTTTTATTTTGAATTCAATTCACACATTAGGGAAGACAAATTTTATGAGTAAAACTCAGTCTCCCATTTTAATGTAATTGTATTCAAAGTTTTTTAACACTTTAGGGGTTAAATTTTGGTTTCTAACCTAAGAATTTTCAAACACCAGCAGCACAGAACTGCCTGTCTGCTTATGAAGGTAACGGAGGTCTAGTTTCTCACACTAAATCTCAATTTTCACTGTCTAAAGTGCTCCATTTTTTAAAGATCCGGTATTTTCCTAATCAGGTCACTTAAGTTATTAAGTGAATAAATTATGATTCTGACGAGCAATTACAGCAAAGAATAAGGAAAAGACCCGTATGTATATGACTGTTTAGTTGTACTGATATGCAAAATACTAATAAACCAAGCTGGAAGGGACAAAACTATCAATTTACAGAGATTTCAGGAGGTTAAGTATAGAAGAACCTTTTAATGAAAAATTTAAGGGCACTTTTAGTAATTTATTTAAAGTGCTCTGAAAGTGGATATATGGAGTGGAGAAAGAATATCCTCCAAAGGTTCCTTCAAAGGGAATTAATTTAGCCATATTAAAATAACTATGAAAGCTCAGGAAGAAATCTCCAATTTCCTTCAAAGGGGAGTTAATTTAACCATCATAAATGAGTTTCCTAATAAACTATAGTAGGAAATAAAAGTTGAGGACCTAAAATAAGGATGCTAATTTACAATTTCCAAAGTGGTTTCCTAGAACTTGGGATTTGAGGAGCATTATCTGTTTATGAATGAGGAAACTAAGAAGAGTTAAGTGTGCCCATATAATAGACAGGGATATTTCACAACTGAGTACACCAAAATTCTCAGATGTCTAATATTTTCTATCTTTGAGATACTCATTCCAAGACAATATTCTAAACATATATCATCTATTCTTTGAATTACTTAAAAAAAAAAAAAACAGTATTCTAAAAGAGTAAAAGTAACAGGGCAATGAGGTAGTAAGTTGCTAAACTACTTTTCCATAGGGGCTTTGGTAATAAATTTCAGCAATATTTTCTATTATTCCCACAAGTACTCTACCTGGCAATGGTTCAGTTGTATACCTGGCTAAACTAAATTTTCACAGAGTATTGTAAAACATAAACACCAACTCTTTCCTTTCTCTATTGCCATTTAGTTGCACAACTGTATAAACTAAGCCAGTCCAACTGCTAAGTAACAGAAGCAATGTAATTATAATCTCACTAGTATTTAACCAGTTTTACAGACTGGCATAAAATATTTCACGGTAATTATAACAGCTGGGATAAAGCACTTACTTAGAATTTTGATTTCCAGACTTATAAATGAGATTAGATTAGATGATTTCTAATATCACCCAAAACTTTCTAAATGTGTATAAAGCTTATAGTAATTAGTTGACCCATAACAATTTCTAGAAAGACTTTTCATCCTTCAGATAGCTTTTTTCATTTTTATTTACTTAGTTGTAAGAAATATACCAATGATCTTTAAATCAAAATATTAAAATTTGTTGGTATCAACTGAAGGAAAACCAAAGGGCTTATATGTCACATTTCTGCTTCCACCCAACTCCAAAGGACAGATGCTTTCTAAAAAATTTTATGCCTTGCATATAAGTACATATACGATTAACACAGAGATGACAAACTTTAGTCACCAAAATGATGTATAAAACTCAGTGATGTAATCTACATGCATTACTAACAAGTTCTAGTAACCAATATAGAGAAAACAGTTAATAAATAAATGATTTCTGAGTATACAGCTGAAATAGAAAACTAAAAGCTTTGCTAATTGGGACTAAATATCCAAATGGAAATACACAAATGATGAGTTAACAAACAGCACCCATATGGGATGCCAACAGAGGCCCCACCAGCTACGCCACAGCCCTGATCCCAAAAAAATTTTAAATACTTGAAGAAACATATTATTGACTACTATTAGGCACAAAGATTTTATATGACACAGAAAAACTTATTTCAAACTAATGAAAATTCAAATGTCTGCAGACAGGTACAAATTTTAAATTACACAGTATTTTGAGATTCAGTTTAAGCCACTAAAAATATAAATGAGAACGCTATCTCTTATTTTCCCCTTCATTCATTCAACAGATTTTCAACCCTTAACAGCAATTAGAAAAAAGCAATAGCAAATAGAAAATTTCATTCCTTATTTTAACGTTAAATAAACTGGAAACAAATTAGTCAAGACTATAGAAATGAAAGTTTCTGCATTTCGGTATGTTAACTGATAGCTCATTTTCCTTTGCATTCCTATTGTGCCATATACAATGTATATTTATAATATTGAGTTCAGCTATATATATCTATTTCTTCTAAAAATAAAACCTATCTATCATTTTCATGGCAGTACATGAAGTTGTACCTTAATGTTTTTCTCCTGCATTGACTTTTGGACGCGTTCTCTTAAAGGTTTCAATGATGAATTACTCACTTGCGAGGGAGATCTATTTAAAAAAAAATAAAGGCAAACATTTATTGCTATGGTTTGAACGTTTGTGTCCCTCCCAAATTGAAATTAAAACTTAATCTACAATTTTTAAGGAGTTCTGCCTTCATGGACAGAATCAGCATCTGTAAGAAAGCATTTGAGGGAGACTTTTTGCCCTTTCACCTTTTCTTCCTGGTGAAGACAAAGCAAGAGTATGCAGTCTATGAGGGCCAATCCTTCACTACACAGTGAATCTGCTGGTGCCTTGATCTTGGATTTCCAGCATCCAGAGCTTTGAGAAATAAATTCTGTAATTCACAAATACAATCATCTACCATTGAAGTGTCTTATTAAGCCACCCAGAAAGGCCTAAGCCACTAATAAACCAAAGCAACTTTAAGTTTCCCTTTAAAAAAAAAAACAGTTACAGGATAAAAACAATTGAATCTATGTGTTTATAATAGTTCATGAAAGAGCTGGAATTCCTATTTGAGCATTAAATAATAATAATTTGGCTAATTAATTCAGTAAGTATTTCTTGAGCTTCTACTACTTTTAAGGCCCTATACAAGATATTGTACAAGAGAGAAAGTTGATTTGCTTATTGGCCACAGATGTGTTTGGGCATCTGGAAATAGGAGTAAAGAAAATAAGCCATCTACACAAGCTAAAATTCAAAAGAGTAGGAAAATTCAAAGAGAAAAAGATAGAAATAGGAGAGTCAGAAGGCACAATGGAGATCTTGAGCCAATCTGTTTTCCTCAACCAATTAACCCTTTTTGGCTTACTACAGCCAGAGTCAGACCCTTTTGATTCAAAAGACCATTATATAATACTTAATAATAATTAAAGTCTACCCTAAGAAGGAATAGCTGACAAGCTTATACTGACTTAAATTTATATACCACATTGTCCTGCATTTTATCATATTAGTGCAGACCATTAACACAGACTGGGACTTGTCTGCACAATGGAAATGCTAATGTAGACTCCAAACTGTAAACAATTGAAATGTGTTTGGCAACATCATAAAGTACAGGAAAATCTTTTTCAAATCGACTTGAGGATTAATTTTATTTGATAAAATTCTAAAAACAGAAAATTATTTTCTCTAAGAAAATGGTAGAATTCAATCTGAAAGAATATTAAAAATCATTTCTATTTCTACCTAAGAGCAACTTTTGCTAGACTAAGCTAAATAGAGAAAAAAAATGTTCATTTTCTTTATACTGTTTCCTATGATTCCAGTACAAGGTACAAGTAAATGCTTGGTAACAGAAATTTTTGTTGTTAGAAAAACATTTGGGTATTTTTGGGTAAAATGTAGAATTACATCATGGCCAGATATAAAAGACTGCTCATGGGAAGCTAGCAAAGAGAGGAGATCTAAAGGATTTAAATTTTATATTTGAATGATAGACCATAGTAAAGTTTCTCTTAAAATAGAAGAGAAAGGATCCTAAGACATAGGAGAAGGTACATAAGGCAATCATGAAGAGATTGCACAATTTTAGACTTACAACCAGTTTCCTAAAAAATAGTACCAGTAGAAAATAGAAAAGATCAAAGAGTAGGATAATTTTGTAAAAATGCTCTATATTGTACTACATACAATCTAAAACTTTTAATGTCTCAAAGTAAATGTTCACTTAAAAATATGACCAACTAACTTAACAACTGGCCTAACTATTGCTAAACAGGTAAGCATCTGCTTATGACTGCACTGTATCTCCCACCCCAACATATATATGTTGAAGCCTTAACTTGGAGATAAGACTTTTAGGAGGTAGTTTAGGTTAAATGAGATCTCAATGGCTGGGGCTCTAATCTGATTTGGCTGAGTGGCCTTATAACAAGAGGAAAGGAAAAGCCAAGTAGATCACGCGAGCACACAGCAGGAAAGCAGTCATCTGCAACCCAAGAAGAGAGCCCTCATGGGAATCCAGCTGGGCTAGCACCATGATGACAGATACTGGCCCAAACAGCAGCAACCTGCTGTTGTTTAAATCACTTAGTCTGTGACATTCTATTAGGACAGCCCACCTAGACTAAGTATCAGTGTCTTACACATACAGTAGCTCCTTTTAGGCATTCTTTTGGTGATTTCCAAAAATCAGGATCACATGAAGCAGGTGATCATTCTTCTGACAACAGTGGCCTAACACGATGTCTCAATGCCTATCACCATTCACTTCACTTCATTTCATTAGGCAGGCATTTTAGCATCTTACATCATCGTCATCATATCTTACCGAGAAAGTAAGATATTTTGAGAGTCTACACTCGTATAACTTCTATTATTCTAATTTATAAATTAAACTTTTTCATAGGTATCTAGGTACATATGTTTGTACAGGAAAAATCATACTATATTGGATTCAATACTATATCCGTGGTTTCAGAGATGTACTGGGGGAAGCGGATACCACTGTAATAATCAGCACTGATGTAATTTGTAGTATTTTTCTTCATAATGTGAGAAAGAAGCAGTATATGTCAACCCCATGTATGTTTGATGTATATGATCTCTACTGTTCTTAGGCAGAATAGCAGTCCTTGGAGCACAGGCCTGGCACTTTGGAGAAAGATACCCTTGCTACTTGCTAACTGAGCTCCCTTGGGCAAAGTATTAACATACCTCTCAAGTCTCTAACTCTTCATTTATGAAAAGGGGTTATTGTAAGGGTTCAGATAAGATAAGTGAAACTATTTACCAAAGTTCTTATAACAAGGCAAATAAATATTTCAAAACAAAAAATAAAAGCAAAAACCAAATGCTGAATCCCCAAACACCTGCACCTGCCATACTCACAAAATACTACCTTTTGTATATAGCTTCTTCACATTTAAATGTTCACTCCCTTTTAACTTTTATTTTCCTTCTTTAGACTTTTCTGTAGCACAGAAGTTTCCTACCATAAGCATATCTTTTACAATTAATCACAATTTTTTTACAATTAATGTTTTTTTAAACGTTCTCTAGAGTTAACATTCACATACATATGTAATGTCCACATTACTTACCTAAAAAGTGTAAGCACAGAAATTCTGTTAGGATGAATTGTGTTTTCATCATCATATAAAAGCTCTGCTTTGTTTTTTGTAGGAGCACTGGCTGCTTCTTCATCCAAAAGAACAAGTAAGGTTTTCACAGTATCTCTGCCACAGTATGCAGTGTCATGGTTTATGGCAAAAGATTTTGGCTAGAACAAAACATAATTTTAAGCATAACAGTCATTCCAGGTAGGTGAACTGGCCACATTTCCATTTCATATGCCACTGTTCCACTTCCACTGTTGTTGAAGTAACAAAACATCAGCTACGAGAAATGGACATAAGGCATGTGAACGTTTCTCTCCTAACCCATACTTAAGTCAACCTTATCACTTTCCAGAAGTACAAAATAGTATCATCAAAGGAAGCTATCAGGCTCTGGCCAAACTATCACTGGGCTTTGAGTCAGAAAAATGTAGCCACCATCTACTTGTGTGACCTCAATTTCATAATTTAAACTCTGAGTTTTTTTTCTATTATACTAATGAGAATAAATCCAAAAATGAACTATTATTTGACATTCATTGATGATCACTGATAAGTACAAACTATGTCCAAAGCTCTATGTCTGAAATTAAAGCTACAAAGGAGAAAGCCAGTCAAAACCCATGATCTGGGGCAGGTGCTGGAGCTTCCCGTATCTGAATGCCTGGGTTCACATCTCAGCTCAGCTTTTGAATCTAGTTTCCTGCTAATGGACACCATGACAGGCAGCAGGTAATGGCCCAAGCACTTGGCTCCCTGTGACTCATTTGTGAAACCTGATTCAAGTTCTAGACTCCTAACTTCAGCCTGGCCCAGCCCTGGCTGTTGTTGGTATTTCAGGGAGAGAACCAGTGGAAAGTGAACCCAGTGTCTCTGCCTCTCTGGGTCCACGCCTTTACCATAAATATTAAAGAAATATTTTTGAAAAAAGAATATAAAGTGTCCTTGATAAGACTGAGATAAAATACCTTGCTTTATTAGCCAAGAATAACAGCAATATTACTTACATTTTATAAAACTCATGAATGGCAATATTTACAATATGAGTATATTCCAGCATAAAAATGTTATCAAATTTGAAGCGGGGTCACAAAGTAAGATACCGTAACAGACCAGTTTAGAAATGAAGGGACTTGAACTAAGATAAAAGTAGCAATAAAGAAAGCAAATTAAAAAGAGAACAGAAAAAAACCTTTGTGACTAGACAGAGTAATAAAAGAAAAAAAAATGACAACATAATATTTTATTTAGATCCATGAGAGGATAAATTCTGAGGCATTTCTGGTTGGGTTTAATAGCAACTTACCTATTGTATGTACTGTATAACTCTGAGGAAGTTGCTTAACTTCTCTGTGTTTTAAGTTTACTCACTGGCAAAGTAGGAGCACTCAGAGTGCCTAACCCGCAGAGTTGTTGGACACTGTGCCTAGATTTCAAAGCTGCCTTTTCTGGACATCCGTTGTAGTGCTGCCAGGTTCCTCAGCTTTCATCAACATGGTCTTGGCCTCCTTTCTCTCTACTTGGCAGGCCCAGGCCACCAGGTGAAGCATAATGTATATAGCTTATATAGCACCACTGAAATTAAAACAAACTGCCTATCACAATCTGGTGCTTAACACACATTTTCCCTCAGAACCAGAGAATTCCATACTGCTTAATAGTAATTTCACTGAGTTTTATCTGATTGCATTCTTCCAAGATTTCTGATTTGGTTGAAAACATAAAATTAAGAACCATGTTGCTTGTATCTTTATTTCATCTGCCAAGAACTGGGAGACATGAGTGTTCTTAATGATCTGAAATTCAAACAGTTCCTGACTTATAAACTTGTAGTAATTACCTGGCTGACATCTGAGCCAAGCTCATGGGGATTAAGACACATGAAGTATATGAGGCAACATGGTAGAATTTCTCCCTATACCCTGTTTTCAAAGTAAATCCAAAAATACACATTGTTACAAAAAAATAGCTAAAAATTGTCTCCAAGGGCTGTGAAAGAATAAACACAGAAACAAGCAAATCAGTAAAAGACAAAAGTCTTTCTCTATACACTTGCTGCCAGTGTTCTGTTAATTATGCTAACTACAATGAGTAGATTATAACTCATAACCAAAATTGTGTTTTACAAAGACATGGTAGTCCATTACACACATAATACTGTGGTTAGATTCTATTGTATTTGACTATTTGCATAAAGAAATCAAGAAAGGAATAAATGTTCTAGGAATAGACAGTTAAAATACTGCCAGGTATGGAGAAAATTGGGTTGCAGGAGATTGGGAATGGAGGTAGGAAATAAGAGATCAGAGTGCTATAAAGGAAAAGTATATTGCTAAATGGAGGCAATTTCTAGCAGGACTGTTGCTGTCCTATAGAAGGCTTAGTATTGGGGTCAGAACCAGAGAAATCAGGCTTTCATTTTATATTTGAGTAAATGGAAAAAAGAATTATAAGAATAATTATTGAAAAATACCACAAAACACCTTAATATCCATCAGGAATTATAAGTATTTAGTCTAAAAGAGATTACCTCATTTTAACACAATTTGTCTGAAGATGTTATGATTTACCCAAGTGAAACATAATCTTATCTAATCCTATTAGTAAAGTTTAATTTTCAACTGCATCTTAAAAGGTAGGAAACACATTCTTCTGACTTAAGTAGCAATAGTAAACCAGTTCTTCAATAAATGGAAGAGATAATGTTTTGTAAACAAGGATAATGAAAAAGAGAGCTTATTACCCGTGCAGGACTGATGTCAGTGGTGCTAACAGCTACGCCTCCTTGTTGAGAATTGATAACATTTTTAATCCTCAATTCCAAATCCTGAGCAACTTCCTCGACTGCTTTATAAAAAGCATCCCTGCTGTTCTGGCCTTTCATCAGCTGCATCTTTATCACGGACAGTATCCGACCCCCTGCAATGCTGAAAATAGAAATAAGATTGCCTCATAATAGTATTCTAAATGGCAACATGCTTATAAACTTGAGAGTGTAATTCTTAGAGTTAATCAACACTTTTCAAAGGATATAGCTTTGATCTTATAAATCAGTGAAGTACTTAAGAAAAAGGTGAGAGCCATTGGAAACAAGTTTAAAGCTTGTCTAAAAGCAAGTGATTTACAAGTTACTTCTTCCTTGATTTGAAAGCTGATGGGAAATAATTTAGTTACATATGTAGTAATATTCAGATACAGTTATGAAAACATTACTTAAAATATGTACATTTACACACAACTAAGATAACAAAAGCAGCTCTTATTCAATATCCAGAATTCTCCATTATTTTAATTTAACCTTAAAACCTATTCAATAAGTTGTTATTTTTACCTCTAAATCACAAATGAGAAAACTGAGACTCACAAAGATTAAATAACTTGTCCAAGAACACATGGCGTTCCAGGCTAGGGAGAAAGGAGACTAACCCGAAACATGTGCTACTGCATTCTGATTTGTGAAGGGTTATCTTATACGAAAGGAAATTAAGCAAGTTAGTACTGATCCAAAGCAAACCAGACTGGGTACGGCCGACCGACAAGTGTTTTTAAAACATCTGAAATCAATATTTCTCCATATCAAGCCTGACCCTGATTTAATGTTGCACCTCCTCCTCTAGAGGACTTACCAGGGAACAAAACATACAGGAGAAAGTGTGAGAGATATTCAGGAGGAAAGATCTTGGTCTATTCCAAGAAAGAAAGCAGAGATGCCTGACAACAGAAGAAGCCTCTCTTTAGAAGTCACAGGATCTCTAGCACTTGCAGGTATCCCTGAAAGGCTACATAGTGAAAACAGAAAAGTGGTCTGGTCTCAGGGATATGGCTGCCTGAGCACGAATCACAGCTCTGCCGTTTTGTGCCTTGGGTACACATTTACTTCTCTTAGTAGTGCCATAAAGGAAATTATGAATCAAAGTCTTCACCCTCACTGCCATAATTATTGCCAGGCTTTATGGGTTAGAGAGCAGCTAGGTTCCCTACAAACACTGGCAATAAAAGGTATGTCAAAAAGTTCATGGAAAGATGAAATTAAGTTATTTCAGTGCAAAAAAATAGAAATCTAGGTATAGTTTTTTCATAACATACATTTTCCATGAACTTTTGGAAGACCCCCTCATATGACTGTTCACATCTCATTAGTTGGTCTAAATATAAAAAGAAAATTAGGAGAAAATCAGAGACTCGGTATACTATGGTAATGCATTAGACCAGAGGCTCCTAATTTTTCCTGATTCTTGAAATCGCAGTCAATGGTTGTTTACATCAACTCTAGATTCTATCCTACTAAATCACCATATCCAGAGAAGGGCATTGGATGATTGCAATGGTTTAAGAGTACTGCAGGTGATTTTCATAGTAAGGGGCTGGGAAACTTTATGGAAAAAGTGTCTCCTTAAGAAAGGAAGCATACTGTACTCATCTTATTACCAGTTTACACTTGACACACAGAAGAGGTGATTTCTGTCTGTTGAATAATGAACATTATCACATGCAAGGATCTAAAGTTCTAATGGTAAGAAAAAAGATAACTACATAGTAATTATTATAATATTGTGATTATTATTATTTGCAACAATAAAGTATTTAGGGGGTTTGTGCTTACTCCATGGTAGACCAGATACTCTAGGCAAGCATCTCACTGAGCTTGGCAGAAACAAAGGAAAATTTTCAAGTGCTTCTGAACCCTTCCTCAGAAAGGAACAAAGGAGCTGGAGAGGTGAGCTGGAAATAAGCAGGATGAATAATGTTTTCTTGAGGACAAACATCCTAGTACAACTGTGATTGGTACACAAAGCCCTGGGCTAGCAGCAAAGTGGGAGGGCATAGCCAGAGACTGTCACATTCAGTCTGAACCTTCCAAGTGGGCAGGGGCGAGTAGGCCTCTTTAGATTTATTCTATGTAGTTCATATTTTGAAACTATTTTTAAAAACTTTTCCTCATTAGTGATAATGTAGAAATACAATTGCTTTTTTCTTTTTCTTAATTGGCCTGGTATCAAGCAACACAGTTAAAACTACTGCTAATTTTAGTAGTTTTCCTTGATTCTTGGAATTTTCTATATATAAAATCATGTTATCATCAAATAGTTTTATTTCTTCCTTTTCAATTGTTAAGTCCCCTATTTCTTTTTCTTGCCTAACCTGACCAAATTGGACATCCAACACTATGTTGAAAAGAAACGATGATAGCAGGAACTCTCATCGCATTCTTATTCTTAAGCTGAATGCTAAAACATTTTACCATTAACTAGGTTTTTGTAGAAACCCTGTAGTCAGGTTAAAGCCCTTATTCTTGGTTCCTCTTAACAGAGAGGTTAGTCCTAGAGGGGGGTTGTGTTTCCTTTCAGACCCCCCACCTTGGCAGTCCCTGGACTTTGTCCCTCTGTCCCCTCAGACTTTAGTGACTATAAGAATAGAATCTCCAATTCACTAAATTCAGCAAATGCTCTCAAGATAAAAGCTGGCTTTCCTCCTTCACCTAGTTTTTGACCTGTATTTCCATTACATTTGCCTGCTCAGCAATGCATTTAAGAAGCATTTTTAAACTATGTTATCCAGCATTAGTATTTTCGATGAGGGTCCATCAGGGGACCTAGTCTGCCATACTTCTTGTAATTAGATGTCTGAATACTCTAGGAATTCTTTTATGGGCATAAAAACTTTATTTCCTTTCATTTTCATTTGAGAACCCAGAAATGAATTGGATGAAATGTAGCTAAAAGGAAAACATAATTAGCACTATGTGTTATTTCTGGGAATTAATCTCTAATGGAAAAGTTCTGGAAAACTTTCAAATGGTTAATAAAATATGGAAGACTGCCTTAGTGTCAATTATAATAACAACAAATGGTTCAATTTATATTAGGAAAAAGTCACCTTTGACATCCTTTTCCCATTTCTCCTACAGGAACAAAAATGCAAAATTTTAAAGATGATATAACTCACCAACAGAACTGTATTTAGGAAGAAATTCCTAAGACTTACATTTCAGGGACTAGCATTCTGATGTAATAGGTTAAGCCACCACCTGTGATGCTGGAATCCCATATGAATACTAGATGGAGTCCCAGCTGCTCCACTTCTGATCCAGCACCCTACTAATGCTCCTGGGAAATCAATGCAAGGTGGCCCAAGGACGTGGGCTCCTGTCACTCATGTGAGACAGGGATGAAGCTCCTGGCTCCTGGCTTTGCCTGACGCAGCCCCAGCCAATGTGACCATTTGAGAAGCAAACCAGTAGATGGTAGTTGTCTCTGTCTCTCTGTATAATTCTGCCTTTCAAGTAAACAAATCTTTAAAAAAAATTCTTATTTCAGACATTTGCCAAGATCAACATTTTTATCTGTGGCAAAATACCCCAAACCTGAGTGCTATGACTACTGCTATATATTTACTGTTAAAGAGTCAACCATTGGCCAGCGCCACGGCTCAGTAGGATAATCCTCCGCCTGCGGCGCCAGCACACCAGGTTCTAGTCCCGGTCAGGGTGCCGGATTCTGTCCCAGTCCAGTCCAGCTCTCTGCTGTGGCCAGGGAGTGCAGTGGAGGATGGCCCAAGTGCTTGGGCCCTGCACCCACATGGGAGACCAGGAGGAAGCACCTGGCTCTTGGCTTTGGACCAGTGCAGTGCGCCGGCCGCAGTGGCCTCTGGGGGGTGAGCCAACGGTAAAGGAAGACCTTTCTCCCTGTCTCTCTCTCTCACTGTCCACTCTGCCTGTCAAAAAAGAAAAAAAGTCAACCATTAACTCTTTTATATCTGGCAACATAGTGGCTTAATTAAAGTTCTTGCTTCTAGAACCTAGAAATTCTGGAAATTTTAACTCAAATGACACCAGGACACTTGTGCCATGCACTAGGAATGCAAAGTGAATAAAAATCTTTTTCTTTAAGAGGTCACAATGGATCATGAGATACAATGAAATACTTAAAGCTGAGGGAGAGCTGGAATGCTGAAGCAGGAGGAAGTATTCAGAAGATACATTAGGATAATTTTGGATAAGCACTAAGAGGGGAATTTAGATGAGAAAGAGGAAACCAACTGCAACTCCTGACTTCTAACTGCATCACACCAGGGCCCTTGGGCAGAAAAAGAAACAGGAAGCTACTGACAAAAGTCACAAATCCCCTGGCACTAAGTAATAAATTCAGACAAATGGCCAGTAATAATTCCTGGTAACATGCTTGAGAGGCAGTAGATGGCCCAAACACCTGGGTTCCTACCACCCAAGTAGGAGACCAGGATGGAGTTCCTGGCTCCTGGTTTCAGTCTGTCCTAGTCCCAACAGTTGTAGACATCTGGAAAGTGAACAAGCAAATGTAAGGTGTCTGTTCATTCTCTCTCTCTCTCTCTCTCTCTCTCTCTCTCTCTCTGTGTATGTGTGTGTGTGTGTATGTGTGTGTTTGTGTCTGTCATTCTGACTTTCAAATAAATAATCTTTAATAAAAAGCTACAAGTGATTAAAAGTGCCACATAAAACATATTAAAAATGTTTCAAAAGCATTTTTAAAAAGAAAAAAAATTTTTAAGGTTTATTTATTTATTTGGGAGGCAGATTACAGAGAGAGGAACAGAGAGAGAGAAATCCTCCCTCCACTGATTTACTCCCCAAACATCCATGACCATGGCTGTGGCTGGGTCAGGCTGAAGCCAGGAGCCAGGAACTCCATCCAGGTCTCCCACATGGGTGCATGAGCCCAACTACGTGGGTCATCTTCCAGTGCTTTTCCAAGACACATTAGCAAGGAGCTGGATCAGAAGTCTAACAGCCAGGACTTGAACTGGTGCTGTGTGGAATGCCAGCATCAGAAGCAGTGGCTTAACCCACTGTACCACAATGCCAGCCCCCAAGAAAAAAGTTTAACATTAGATTATACCAGATAACTTCAACCAAATTTAACATTCTATTAATATATATTTAGTCCAGTATATAATGCAGGTATATAATAAAAGTTTGTATAATAAATGTGAACTATAGAATTTTAAAATTCCAAAAACAGGGAATTAAATTATATAAACTGAAACCTCTAAGACTTTTTCAGGTAAAAGTATATAGTATGCATTTTATGGTGGCATCTACTGGCAAAGTATAGAAATGCAGCCAACCATAGCTAAAATGGCTTCAAAAAAGCTGGCAGAGAAGCAACAAATACGAAAATCAATTTCTTACAAAATTTATCTTTGTCTATTCCTCTTCCATCCCTGGACTCAGAAGTTATTGTCATTCCTCTATTATAAGTAATACAAGCTTACCCTCAGATACAAAACACATTTTTATCCCTATGTTTTAAAATGAGAAGATGAAAAGGCTAGAACGAGAGACTGGCAGGAGTTAGATCATAAACAGTCTTGCATATCATATTGAGGGTTTCTTGGAATTTTATCCTTTGCCTAAAATGTTACCATTGAAGGATTTTAATCATGGGAGTAACTTGCTGTTTCAGAAACATCACTCTGGCAGTAGTGATGATAACAGACATGGACAACACAAGACTGGAGGTAGAATGGACAACTCAGAGACAAGTGAAAGAGTGCAGGCAAGAAATGATGACAGCCTGAAAATAGATAGCACAAATACTGCAAATAAGATAGTAGCTGTGGGAATAGAGATAAGGAGAAGAACATATACAAGTCAAGAAAGAAGAACTGATGGATTTGAGTGAATGAAGGGATAGAGAAAGAAGAAATATGACTTTAGGATATGTATGAGAAGTGACCAGAGTAACAATAAGTGGATTCTCACAAAAGATCAAAGGAAGAATAAAAAAGTGAATGAGTATGAGTCAGTCAAGTATAGACAAATAAATAAATAAAAATTGAGTGTCTATTTTGGGCCAGAAATTATGCTAGGGCTAAGGAATATAAATGAAGAAAACAATAAACCCTCATGGAGCTTGCTATTTCCTGAGAAACACACATTAAATAATTAGAAATAGAGAAGTGGGAAAAAGGATAATTTTTTTTCAGTAATTTGAAATGTATAGGAAGCATGAGGAATTAGAAAAAAACAGAAAAGATGGCTTTTTTTTTTCCTTATATTCTTTATGGACTGTTCCAAAAGTACTATTCTAGGAAGATACCGAAATTGTAAGACAAAAGGAATAACCAGTGGAGCAATACCCTAGTAAGTTTTCTACAACCCCTATCTCTGGCTCACTTCAAGTTCATCCCTCAAGATTAATCTTGACTACAACACCCATGCAGATAAGCATTCTTGACACAAATATTATCACCGGCTCCCAAAAAACTATGTCAAATCTCCTTTCCTCTATACACATTTATTACAAAATGAATATAAGCACTACAAAAACACAAGTCATGAAGAATAAAATAAAGATTTCTCAAGGGGACCATTAAATGCCCACTTGACATCATTTATTATTTAGATACCCACTTTTCAACATCTTCTCTACAAAACAGAATAATTATTCATTATGACCAGACAAGATAACCAAAATAAGTGGCTGCTGAGTTAAAGAAGTCTATTCTCACCCTAAATGCCTCTAAATAATATATTCATTTTTAAAGACTTGTATTTATTTTATTTAAAAGTCAGAGTTACACAGAGACGAAGAGGCAGAGAGAGAGAGAGAGAGAGAGAGAGTATTCTATCGGCTGGTTCACTCCCCAGTTGGCTGCAACAGCAGAAGCTGGGCCAATCAGGAGCCAGGAGCTTCTTCTGGGTCTGGTGGGTACAGGGGCCCAAGGATTTGTATCATCTTCTACTGCTTTCCCAGGCCATAGCAGAGAGCTGGATCGGAAGAGGAGCAGCTGGGGCCTGAACCGGTGCCCATATGGGATGCAGGCAGCAGCTTTACCTGCTACACCACAGCGGTGGCCCCAACAATGTATTTCTAAGCTGCTGATCACTTACTCAACCAGAAATCTCTCCAAAATTATAACTAATTACTTCGGATTGAATATACACATTTACCTCTGCTCCCTGCCAAAATCTCACTAAAATGAGATAAAAAGAAAGAGTTTTACATTTATAAAGAAAAGGAAAATGGGAGAGAAGAAAACAGCTGAAGATGGCAAAGACATTTCATGGAACTATGGAAAGATGAAAAGGAGGCATACAAGTGTTAACTGACTAACCAGAAGAGAGATGGCTAAAACCTAAGCAATAACTAAGAAGACATCAGTAAAAAGCACTATCAGAAATTCTTAGGAAGTGAAGGCAATCCTGAAAGCAATACAGGCAAGCGACTTGAGCATCTGCATAAGGAACACTTTCACTGCTAAATCTCTTCTATTCTGAGCAGCCAGGCTAGTTCCCTTCTCCCACCTTGGCATGGACAGTGAGATTACTGTTAAGAAACTAAGCCAGAGAGGCTCCAGACTAAGGAGTCTTAAGGACTAGAACTAAAGGGACTACATATGGAACTGTGAGATTCAGCATAAACCTAGGCTACTTCAAATTCCAAAGTGTTTTGCATATCTGCAATTTAAATATGAATACAAGCAAGTGATTACCTCTAGATCACTTGTAAAAGAATTAATAAATCTGAAGTATTTGAATTCCCTATCCCTCTCCCCTTTGTTATGTATAGCTCTATAATATACATATCTAATCCTAAAAATATATATTTTTTAAAATTTTCTGTTACCTCAGGAAAAAGTGGACAGCCAATAAATTATCTGGAGTACAGAAGATGTAGCTGATAGTATCTATAAGAGAGATGCAAAATCCTCTTGCAAATTTACTTTTTTGTAATGGATATCCATATAAGAGGACAGGATGCAAGTCAGAATAAAGTCCTAAAAATTATTCTTCTTAGAATCATAAAATGGAAAGAAGTTATATAAAATGAGATATAAAAATTAAAAGAATGAGTACCAGGATCAGAACTGAGTTCAGATTCCAGCTCTGCTATTTAAGAACAAAGTAACCTAGGTAAATTCCTGGTCCCAGTTTAGTTTCTTCATCTCTAAACTTGCAATTATAATAGTACCTACCATGTTAGATTGTAATAATAACAAATGACAATCCATGTAATGAGTTTTTAGCATAATTTCTAACACATAATAAGTGTTCAATAAATACCATCTATTTTTGTTATAACTAGGCGATGGGATACCAATTAAATTGAACCTGCTCCACACCCTGATTGCTAGCACATACAACCCACTTCTGCTCCCCAATTAATCTACAACTTACCATCTACAACACCTACATCACAAATGGGAGTCTATCAGATGAAAAAAAATACTCTAAACTCCAATATCATATAAAAATAAGACCCAGAGGAGCCAAAGATCAAACATAAGAAAAAGAAAAATCAGTAGCAGAAAACAGAATAGTGATTTCATGATATATTTGTCAATTGTCTTCTTCATACTTGATATCACGTTCCTTTATTGCTATATAAAAAGTTTATTGAAATTCTTTAATCAAACATGCCCAGTCCTCAAAAATCTGTTTCTTAGAGATAAAGAAATATAACCCTCTTCTCTAACAAAATGTAATTTGGACATGCCTTTTGATATGGGCAATAATTTTAGAATCACAGATATATGAAAATTTAGGAGGGAAGATTACATGGTTATAATTCATTCACCTAGATATTTTGTTTCTTCTCCCTGCCATTTGGTCAGATACTTGGTCATTTCAGTATCTCTTTTATTCCTCCTCCTTCTTCAGTGCAGTTTTAATAAAACATATTTGTAAATTATGAAAAGTCATTACCTTGGATTTGATATTTCTCCAAGAATCTCATCTAATTTGTCAATGAAATTAATAAAATTAGACAATCCCTTTGCATGTGTCCTTAAAGGATCAGACGGTGATGGTGCATATCCTTTCCCTCCGAGCTCTATTGTCCTAATAAATGATGTAGCCACCTATAAAATAAATGAGTTATTTACATTTAAAAATAATTTAGTAATTTAAAAACTATAATTCTCTTCATGAAGTTACTATATCCATATAATTCTGGGTATGTCTTTTTCAGAAGCTAACAAAGAAACAGCTGTTAGGCCAGCACTGTGGCGTGATGGGAGAAGCTACTGCCTGAAGTGCTGCATCCCATATGGGCATCAGTTGGAATCCTGGCTGTTCTGCTTCTGACCCAGGTCCCTGCTAATGTGCCTGGGAAAGCAGCAGAGGATGGCCCAAGTCCCTGGGTCCCTGCAACCACATGGGAGAACTGGAGGAAGCTCTTGGCTCTGGTCTGACCCAGCTCTAGCCATTGTAGCCATTTGGGGAGTGGGCCAGCAGATGGAAGATCTCTCTGTAACTTGGCCTTTCAAATAAAATAAAATAAAATAAAATAAAAAGGAAAGAAACAACTGTCATGCAGAATTCGTGCTTGGGGCTGGCACTGTGGCACAGTAGGTTAACGCCTTGGCCTGAAGCACTGGCATCCCATATGGGCTCCAGTTCAAGACCCGGCTACTCCACTTCTGATCCAGCTCTCTGCTATGGCCTGGGAAAGCAGTGGAAGATGATACAAATCCTTGGGCCCCTGTACCCACATGGGAGACCTGGAAGAAGCTCCTGACTCCTGGCTTTGGATCGGCACAGCTCTGGCCATTGCAGCCAATTGGGGAGTGAACCATCGGATGGAAGACCTCTCTCTCTGCCTCTCCTCTCTGTGTAACTCTTTCCAAATAAATAAATCTTAAAAAAAAAGAATTCATGCTAACAAGGGTGTTGGCAATGACACTCAGCTGTAGATGGAAATTGAGGAGCTAACAATGAAGAAGAAATTAAAGGTTATAGAACATATTCATAAAAACATATCAATGACTATAAACAATTTGCTATGAATACATTCTTATGTAGATGAATTATTGGCTTTTGGAACTGGTAAATGAACAAAGACATTTTATTTATCAACTAATTTGTTGTGTTAAACTAGTAAATTGGTTGGGCAACTCAACACTTTAAAATCTGTTTCTTTAACCTGTAAAAGAATCACTAAATTCCATCTAGCTTTGACATCCCAGGTTTACTTGATCATGTGGAGTTCAAAAAGCTTTGCTTTTATAATCATGAAAATATTTGATAGGTATATAAAAGGTATCCACATCATAAATGAAATGTTCTAAAGAAATATTTTTCCCCAAAAAAGTATTTTAGTGTATTCTAAGAAAGACAAATTTTATAAAATGTCAAAATAATTTCAGAGAAAAAATGTAAACTAAAAATGGATATGATCTAATAGTTTGGAGGTCATTTATTGGTTAGCCCAGAGGACTTATAATAATATGACTTAATGTATGTAAAGTGTTTATGTGTAGTGCCTACTGCTATCAAAAAAAAATAATTTAGGGGAAAATAATATGGTCACATAACTTAAGAAACAATAGATTAAGTAACAAGGTTAACTTGCTTTAAGTTATAAGCAGATGTTGTGATACCAGAACTTCTCAGAGTTCTTGATATACTAATATGTATTATGTATAACCAATAGGGGTACATATGACTCATTTTTAAACTTTTTGCCCATGAAAACATTTATCCAAGGATCATTTCACAGAGATATTTTGCCTTCAGAAATATTTATTTAGGGAGAATTCATCAGGGCCAGCACTCTACAGGCTATGTGTGAGGAAATACTGCCTTAGAGAAATTCTTCCCTGCCAACCTTGAAAGATAAAGTAAAAAACAATACTGAAATTTCAAATACTGAGATATACATAAATTAACTGCTTAAAAGATGTTTCATCATACAGTTATAAGAACTCTACATTAGGGGACATGGATCTACTGCTCACAGTGTTTTTAAACAATCTTGAAAATAGAACATATCCATACCAAAAAAATTGACATGTGTTTCTCTCGAGCAGCATGTTTCAGATCTGTGAAGGCTTCTCTTCCAAGTCCTCTGTCAGGAATATTAAGAATGTGAGCCAGAGCCAGGTCATTCTTTGAATTCACTAGCAAGTTTAAGTAAGAGAAGATAATTTTTTTTGCCAGTGTCCGCATCTGTACAATAAAATATTCGGTTATGTTTGTTATTATAATTGGTCCCAATGCATAAATAATTTCACTTTACATGCTATAAAAATGCATATGAACATTCAATTACAATACTTCTCAGTTCTTTTAAAAAATTATCACATAAACCGAAAAGTTAGGATAGACAATCAATATATTCTTGCTCATAATATCAATTTGCTGTCAATAAAAAAAACTGAATAACTACCACCAGAAAGGTTGGAAAGTGGTTTTTAGAAAATGATATGAAAAACACACTCCAAATATACATTTCTGATGAGGCTTCATTTTATCTACTTTATCATTTGCCACTAATAATAGTCAATAATAAAGAACCTTGGGGCTTAAGGGATAAGCAAGTGCCACTATTTGATCCTATACCTATATATCTATATCTCCTATAACAACAGATATAAGACCTGAAGTTAAATGTTTAAATTTTTAAGAATTGCTAGATCTTAATTTTGATAATATAAAACAGCAAACAGATGATTAAAATACAGATTCAATCAAATGTGAAGCTAGTAATAAAGTGTATTTGATGTTGACATTAACTGGCTTAAAACAGAGCCTCATACCATTCAAGCACAAGATAAATAATATTTGGGATAATTTGGTAAAGACAGCTGATCTTCAAAAAGTTCATGAAAATGCATATTATGAAAAATTTTACATGAATTTCAAAATTTTTTGCAAAGTATCTTTTAATTCCATTTTACACAAACTTTTCAAAGCCCCCTCATAGACTGCATTTTTCCTTCATGTTGCAAATTGATAACCCTTAACATTTAATGATGTTTTTCATAAAATTAGCTTTAGTAGTTACCCAAGGCTTTGCAATTTCTTTCTTTTTTTTTTTTCCTCAGTAAAATATTTTTTTTTAGATTTTTTTTTTTTAACTTTTATTTAATGAATATAAATTTCCAAAGTACGGCTTATGGATTACAATGGCTTCCCCCCCATATCGTCTCTCCCACCCACATCCCTCCCCTTTCCCACTCCCTCTCCCCTTCCATTCACATGAGGATTCATTTTCGATTCTCTTTATATACAGAAGATCAGTTTAGCATACATTAAGTAAAGATCAACAGTTTGCTCCCACACAAACATAAAGTGAAAAATAATAGATGATTTTTTAAACGATGATGAAATCAGATCAGACCTATTGTCATGTTTAATCCCAGTAAGAGTCAAGTTGGGAATTGATAATTTCTTCTTCTTTTTTTTTTTTTTTTTTTTTACAGAAGATCAGTTTAGTATACATTAAGTAAAGATTTCAACAGTTTGCACCCCCATAGAAACACAAAGCGAAATATACTGTTTGAGTACTCATTATAGCATTAAGTCTCAATGTACAGCACATTAAGGACAGAGATCCTACATAAGGAGTAAGTGCACAGTGACTCCTGTTGTTGACTTTACAAATTGACACTCCTGTTTATGACATCAGTAATCTCCCTATGCACCAGTCATGAGTTTCCAAGGCTATTTCTAACACTGAGGGAAAAATGATTTGTGAATCCTAAAGGTAACAACTTTAAAATATTAAGGAAATTTTTAAAAGAAAAATCATGTAAAGATACAAAGCACCCAATAAGCAGACATAGCTAGAGAAATTAATTTTAAAAGAACTCCAGCAACAGGGTTAAATATTACAAATTTGTGACTATTCAAGGCCCCAAAATTCCAGTAATGGAAGAGAAGGGAGTGGTCATAAGAAGCCTGTAGATAACAATTAAGTCTGTGGTTTCCTGGACCAAGAGTATACTAAAGTCCTATGGCTCTGTCTGTAAAAAATAGAGGTGATTAAAGGTGCAAAGGGCCAAGATGGGAGTATAGCAAAAGGACGTTCAGAGTCGCACAGGGAAAAATAGATAGCTAATGAGCAGAGGGGATACAAGCCAGTGACAGAATCATAAGAAGTTCCTGCAGAGTAGCCCAGGAGTCCACCAGAGACTGCTAGGTCCACAATAAGGGAGAAATGAGGAAGGAGAAGTGGTGAAGACACAGCAGAGACTGAAAAAGGAAACTGGTGCTCTCCCTTCTCCGCAATGAACAAGGTGAGAAGTCATGAGTCCATGGGATGAAGGAAGTCAGAGATCTCTATGATGAGAATTATAAAACAATACAGAAAGACGTAGAAGAGACAAAAAAAAAAAAAAAAAATGGAAAAACCTTCCAGGTTCATGGATGGATTGGAAGAATCAATATAAAAATCTCCATTCTTCCAAAAACAATTACAGATTCAATGCGATACCAATCTACCAATCAAAATACCAAAGATATTCTTCTCAGATCAGGAAACATGATGCTGAAATTCATATGGAGCCAAATTCATATAGAGCCTCAAATAACTAGAGCAATCTTACACAACAAAAACAAATCCAGAGGCATCACAATACCAGATTTCAAGACATACTACAAGGCAGTTATAATCAAAAACAGCCTGGTACTGGTACAGAAACAGATGGATAGACCAATGGAACAGAATAGAAACACCAGAAATCAATCCAAACATCTACAATCAACTTATATTTGACCAAGGAGGTAAAACCAGTCACTGGAGCAAGGACAGTCTCTTCAACAAATGGTTCAGGAAAAACTGGATTTCCACATGCAGAAGCATGAAGCAAGACCCCTACCTTATACCTTACACAAAAATCCACTCAACATGGATTAAAGATCTAAATCTATGACCCGACACCATCAAATTATTAGAGAACATTGAGGAACACTGCAAGATATTGGCAAAGGCAAAGAGTTCTTAGAAAAGACCCCAGATGCACAGGCAGTCAAAGCCAAAATTAACAATTGGGATTACATCAAATTGAGAAGTTTCTGTACACCAAAAGAAACAGGGAAGTGAAGAGGCAACTGACAGAATGGGAGAAATTATTTGCAAACTATGCACCTGATAAAAGATTAATAACCAGAATCTACAAAGAGATCAAGAAACTCCACAACAACAAAACAAACAACTCAGTTAAAAGATGGGTGAGCGACTTAGACATTTTTCAAAAGAGGAAATCCAAATGGCCACAGACACATAAAAAAATTGTGGGGGAGGCTGAATCTCGAAAGGCTAGAGAAACTTCCTAAGCCTGCCTCGAATTTGAAAACCTGTCTTTAAGTTTCAAATCCCTGGTGGTAAACCACCTAGCCCAGGGCGCTTTTGCCTAAGGATCATTGAGGTGGTATAATAGGATTGGCTAAAACCTTTTTGCATCACATCACCCCACCCCTTGCCCCCAACTGCTCTGTACCACAGCTATATAAACACCTCCCTTTTGCAATAAAGTGAGATCCTGGTGACTCAAGTCCCCACATCTGATTGTCCCAGGGGAGGCTGAGTGGCATGTGGCGCACTTCCCCTCCTCAGCCAAGGCAAGCTGTGGGCAGCCTGCCTAATTCTCCAGTGAAGAGGAAGAGTCACCGCAAAAAATGTTCAGGACCACTAGCTGTAAGGGAAATGCAAATCAAAACCACAATGAGGTTACACCTCATCCCAGTAAGAATGGCTCTCATACAGAAATCAACAAACAACAAATGCTGGAGAGGATATGGGGAAAAAGGTAACCTAAGCCACTGTTGGTGGGAATGTAAATTGGTAAAGCCACTATGGAAAACAGTAATGGAGATACCTCAAAAATCTGAATATAGACCTACCATATGACCCAGTCATCCCATTCCTGGAAATTTACCCAAGGGAAATGAAATTAGTAAACAAAAGAGCTAAATGTACCTCCATGTTTATTGCAGCTCAATTCACAATAGCTAAGACATGGAATCAACCTAAATGCCCATCAACCAAAGACTGGATAAAGAAATTATGGGACATGTACAGTATGGAATACTACACAGTAGTAAAAAAAAAGAAAAAAAAAAAAAGAAATCTGGTCATTTGCCAAAAAAAAAAAAAAAAAAAGGATCAATCTGGAAAACTTCACACTTAGTGAAATAAGCCATTCACAAAGGGAGAAATAATATATGTTCTCCCTGATCTGTGAGAACTATAATAGCACACCTAAAATGAATGCTGTAGAAATGAAATTGACACGTTGGGAAGCAATGACTTGAATAGCTCTCATCTTGACTATCAAGGAACAATTTTTAACTTTTTTTCTTTGTCACACTGTATGTTGAACTCTTAACATAGAGTTAATCATATGTATATAAAAATTGAAAATAGATCTCACTAAATAAGAGGGAATAAGAGAGGGAAGAGGAAGTTGGTAAAGCTGTATGGTTTTGCATACTTTTCTACAGACTCTCTTCTAAGTGTACAGTTTAAGAACTTGTCATGGGACTTCAAATTTCATTAAAATTGGTGGTAAATTTTCCATCTTAATTGTTAAGGTGATCATATTAAGTGTTAAAGTGAACATATAGATTGGATTAAGTATTAAAGAAATCATATAAATAGTATCAAGTGCCTGGTAATAATAGTAGACAGAATTAAAAAGGAGGTAACGTCCAACATGAGAAGTAGTCTACACAGCAGACTCATAGAATGACAATCGCTTTAAGTAATACTCTCACATCAGAATCAGCCCTTAAGACATTGGGATGTGGCTGAAAAGCCCATGAGAGCAGTTCAGACATGGAAAGCCAAGACACTGTGGGAAAAAATATCCTACATGAAGGATCTCTGTGAGTGAGACCCCAGTGGGAAGAAAGGAGGGGCCATCAAAGAAGGATCTACTTTTCTCTGAAGGGAGGAGAGAATTTCCACTTTGCTTATGGCCTTGTCTAAATACTGACAGTTTGTGGTCACAAAAAGCTTCCATTTCCTTAGTAGCACATGGCAAGAGCCTCGGGTGATCACTGACATCATAAATAGGAGTGCTAATTGTTAAATTAACAACAGAAGTCACTGTGCAATTACTCCCCATGTAGGACCTCTGTCCTTAATGACTTCTACCATGAGAATTAACTGCAAAACTTGTTCTCAAACATTACACTGTGTGTAGGGGGGGTACAAACTGTTG